AATAAATGAACGAAAAAAATCTTTCATGTTCCTCTAAAAAGTAAAAAGTGAAGGAAACTTCAGTACGTTCTTAAACATGTAAAATGAACTACGTTCCCGATAATTTATTAAAAATGAAATAAAATCAAAGGAACGGATTCCTTTGAACGCGTTCCTTCCAAGCACTGAGTTAGAACTTACTTTTTGTTAGAATCCTTAGATATAAAAGTTGAACATTTTATAAATTTTTAACTACAAAATAATTCAATTTTAAATTTGATAAATTTTGTCAAAATTCGATCTTTAAATCCATATAAAAAAAAATTGTGCCAATGTATTTTTAATATTTTTCGATTGCTATTGTAACAATATATCAGGAGCCTTGTGTTAAATTTTTACACTTTTTGACAAAACAGATAAAATTTTATTTTTATTTATAGAAAAAAAAAAACTAAAAAAACTGAAAACTGACAATGCCCGTAAACATTAAAAAAAACCTCAAAATATTTTGAAAATTTTTATCAAGTATAAGAATATTAATAAAATAAATATTCAGTAAAATTTTGCATGTATCTAGAGTCATTCGTTTTTGAATTATATCAAAATAAGAAAATTGTCACATGAGATATCGAGTGAATAACAAATTTTGTAAAAATATGAATTTAAAATGCTCATAAAAATCTAATTTCAATTTCCAGTAGACATTTTTTTTTTTTGATAAAGGTAGACAAACTTATGTTAAATCTTGTGTTACATTTTCAAATCTTAGATTTAAAAAGAAAAATTTTTATGAATTTCTAACTAAAAATATTTTGCAAAATGTTGGGTTTTTTCCGTATTTTGTCAATATTTGAACTTGAAATGCTTATAAAAAAAAACTGTGATTAAGGATTTTTAATATTTTTAAACGTCATTGTAACAATATATTAAGAGAGTTGTATACAAATAAAGTTTTGTTGACATCAAGTATTCTCTGATGACTCAATAAAGTTGAAAATATTTATATTAAAAAATCAGTTGAGTTAAATTGATGAAAAAAAACTGAAAGAGAAACGTGGGCACCCGCAGGAAAACGCATTTTAAGAAGTAAAAAAAAAATTTTGAAAATTCGGACGGCACCTCTTGGTCAATACTTGAACAATTCATACAAATAATTTTTTTTTTTTTTAGTTTTTCAATCCGTAGATTGGTTTTTAACAAAATGTTTTACAATAAATGACTCCTCCATTTTTCCCTATCATTCGCTATGTTCTTCAGTTCCTTGTAGGAAGTGACTCCTGCATCCTGCATTATTTGACTGATGTATCTCGTCCTAGGTCTTCCTCTTGATCTTGTACCCTCCATCATTCCTTCGATTATTATATATATACTATGCAGTTCATCTCCATGCCTTAACGTGTGTCCTATCATCTGCCATCTCCTTCTTTTGATAATGTCTATCAATGTTCGTTTTACATCTATTGTCCTCAGGATGTTTTCATTTAATCTTTTATCAATACAGCTTATTCTCTGCATCTTTCTCCAACACCACATTTCGAAAGCTTCTAACATATCTTTTTCTCTCTTATTAATCGTCCAGGTATCACTTCCATATAATGCCACACTATCCAGACGTATGTTTTTATAAGCCGTTTCTTCGTTACTATGTTCATATTTTTTGATGTTAGTAATTTTCTCTTTTTGAGGAATGTATTCTTTGCTTAACCTATCCTGCTTCTAATTTCTTTAATTGATTTCCCGTCGTCTGTTATAATAATGCTGCCTAAGTATTTTAAATTGTCTACTTGGATAATTTCTTTGTTTTCTAACGATATATTTATAGATGGTATGTTTTTCTTGTAGCATACTAGGGCTTTGGTCTTGGCTGCATTTATTTTCAGACTATATTCTTTGAACGTAATATTCATTACATTTAATGCTGCTTGTAAGTCTTCCTCAAATGTTGCAAGAACGACTATATCATCAGCTTCGCTGGAAGCATTGTTATTAGTACCCCTCCTATTTTCACTCCAATTCCTTCTTGTTCTAAATAAAGTTTTATGACATGTATTGATTTTTCAATAAATACATTGAACAATGCAAGTGAAAGTGGGCACCCTTGTCTCACACATTTTTGGATTTTGGCAGTCACTGTTGTTGTATTAATATTAATAATTAACAACATAATTAACTTGAGTTAAATAAATAAATAAAATGGAAGGGGAATGTGGCCGTCCGTATGAAAAATAATAAAAAAAAAACAACTTGATTATTTATCAGAAATAACAATTTTATAGTAGGTAGCAATGTCTTCTAAGACCATGGTATGTAGTTAGTAGTTACCTACGTCCTACATAATATAATATAGTCGATCAAAAACTATTTATAATGAATTAGTTAAATTGTTAAAAGATGTTAAAATATCTATTAATTGTATGTATTTGTTAATAATAATTTTGACTTTAATATTAGCAGTAGGTTTAATAGTATATTGACTTCAATTTTATTTCAAACCATAAAAATTAAAAATGTCAAGTGAAATAGGTATTTAAAATTTAGAACCCTAGTTGTTCGTCTCAGAAGATTGTCATAATGTCAACCGTAGGTTATTACTTATTTAGTTATGTATAGAGGTAATCTAAGACATGGATAATTTTGAATTCTCCTTATAAAAAGTATAAGCTTTTATTTAGTTCTACAGTAGAACTTCTACTTGAGATGAGAAGTTGAATATTAAAAATATTCAGAAATAGGTATTCAAAATATATATAGCTGGAAACGATTTGTTTCTCGGTAACCATTCATTTATTACTTAGTTTAAGGTCCTATTGGTGTATACCTACATCACAGCGACTTTTCGATCTCTTTATTATTTATAGTAATGTATCATTGTATAATGTAGAATGTAGATATTATTAAGGGTATAATAACTATAGGGTTCAAAATACCACCACCCCTCTTTTAACCTAGTCCCGGACCATAATATGGAAAATTCAACGAATTTATAAATTACAATTAGTTTTATTATTACATACCTACTGCATAGAAATATTAAAGCCTACTACCTACCTAGGTATCAAAATTGACTATTTTTCATAATATTATTTGCACGTAACTAAGGAGTAGGTACCTATAGGTATACAACTGCTTTTATACCCTGATTCATGCACCTGCTAATTAGTCGGTAGGTATTCTCATTCAATTTATATTATTATCCTAGATTATAAAATAACTTAAAATACAAAAAACCTTTAACTGGCATAGTTGGTTCCAGCAATCATTTAGACTCTTATATTATTAGACGTTAAACCGATAAACGGCATTTTTATTTTTATAGAAGAAAAAATACTATAACTACCTTTAGGTAGTCATACTATTATAGAGTATTACTGTTGACTAGAAAGACAATTTTAATTAAAATAGTGACAAAGTATAATAAATATTTTTTACCTATTTTGGAATATTGATATTATACCATTGTACGTTTTAATATCAATCAAGCTGTGGAAACAATTGCAACTTTTTGTTGAAGTGTGAAACATTTAATGGTACTAGCAACACATTTACAACTCACAAATTGTATAGGGCAAAAGGTAAGAACTAAAAAATTATGTTTTGTATCATAAATGCAATTATTTTTATTTTTGTTAATGAATAAGACTATAATTATTAATTTGTATTTCAAACATAATAATATAATTGAAACTATTAAAATCATATCTTTATTACGGTGGTATAAATGTATAATAATTATATTTTAATACAAGAACTTATTTTCAATATATATATAATGCACATTTAATAATAAAAAAGTAGAAAAAATAATAGTACATAAAAAATTCCTATTAGTTATAACTTATTAAGCACAATTTAATATTGATACACACATACATAGAAACATAGAATACTGATCAAGTTTTGTTTAAATTGTAATACTTATACTTCGGTTTAATTGAGCTGCAACTAATACTAAATAAATCAGAATTTTAAAAATATTTATGTAACATATACACTACTTAATATATATTATAATTATTAATTAATAATATTAAAATTATCAAATTATCAAATTTTCAAACTTGTTCAGTTCAATTTTTTATAATTATTTATATATAATTTACAGATCTTAAGAATCACTGATTTTAGTTAATAAATAACTTAAATAATATTATCCTATAGACAGAAATAAGTTTTTTTTTATAATAATACCTATTTAAAAATTAAGTACATGTTATTTCTAAGTGGAATTCATAACAAAACTACAAGATGATGTTGTGAGTTGAGCCTTAAACAAACTATACCTAATTAATAGAGTGTATGTTAAAAGCTATGATTTAAAAATCAAAGTCATTATGTGTTATTAATTAAGACTGTACAAATAATTATTGTTATATATCATATAAACATAAGAAAAAAACAACAAACAAAAATGGCAGTAGTACAGCTGGATTACCTGTAAAAACTAGGTACAAAATTAAAATTAATTACAACTCAAATAAACACAATACCTACTAAACATTTTATAATTATAATAACTAACAATAAATAAATAAACTACAAAAATTAGCATAAAATAAAATATGTCAGTGTTAAACTGAAGTTTCCAATTTTAAGTATAAATAAATAAGAAACAATACATCCAAATTCAAATTTATTTGAAAGGTGCGGTGGGATTTTTTTATTACTAAGCTGCACAAATTGTAACAATCATTCTTCAATTGAGATTAATTTTAATTATTAAATTAAACACGAGAATATAAATGCCTTAATTGGTAATACAACAGAAATACATAATATGACTAAGACCTAAAGGAGATAGGAAATACTTGGATAAAAAACAGTATCAATGTCAGTAATAAATAAATATTAAAAAATAAAAATATAAATACATTACATCTATATAGAACTCATATAGCTAATAAATACAAGTTAAATACTCGATAAATTAATACTTCAACTAGGAAAAGATACCAAAGGTTAATTATAATGGGAGATATATTAGACTATGAAGTTTCCTTAACTCAGTCACGAGGTTTATTTTTTTAAACACAAGTCTCGTCATTTTCGTCACTATCAGATTTATTAGTTCTGGCAAGTGTATAACCAGATGCCTTATGAGATTTTCTCATGTCCTTTTTTCTTTTGTTGGCATCCGTCCATCTCTCTTTCTTTGGCGTAATTGTTTCATATGTGTGATTCAATGGATTTGCACTAGAACAGTCAGACACTATCACATGAGGACTACTGCAAGTTTCTTTTTCGCTTATGTTCCGACCACAATCGGTGACGCTGTCTGAAATACCTTCACAACTAGCACCACTCATTTGGCTGGTTACAAATTCTTCGGTAGAGTAATCTCTTGGCGGTTGCATATATTTATGTCGATACTGTGTACGGCCATCTACTTCAACATACTCATGATCAGTAATGGCACTGTCTGAGAATACACCATTTTGTTTTAGTTCCAACCGTAGATTATTGGTTTTACCATTTTGACAGTAGTAAGCACCATTGTCTGTTAATTCTGGTGAAGTCAATGGCGGACGTCGAGGTAAATTATTTTGTTTCCTTCTTTGTTTTTTAAAAAACCTCTTCGCTACAGTTATTTGATGTGGATTGTAATAATCAATTTGACGTTCCGCATTTAATTGATGTCGCATCATAACAAGTTGTAATTGAGGTGATCTAAATGATTGCAATGATACAACTTCACTATTGGACTTTGGCCTCACAGATTGAAAACTATCAGTTCTAATGGATGGAGCGCGGACTGAATCAACAACTTTTTTTCTTCCCCAGCGATGTTCTTTCAGTTCTACAAATGCGTTCTGAACATCATTTCGTACAAAAATGTAAAACCACATTATCAAAAAGTTTTGAAATATATTGAAACAAGCAAACCATACACCTAACCATAGTTGAATAGTTGGACTGTGCATAACTGCTACATTAAAATAAGTCATTGCAACCGACAATAAGTATCCAAATAGGGTTCCATTGAAAAATCTCAGTTGGACAACAGGAGACTGTTCGGGATCTTCTACTTTGCTTGACGGAGTTGTGAGGCTGCGACAACTATTGTGTTCTACCATGCTATTTGTCTGATCCAATAGTTCCAAGTCTGTGGCTTGAGTACCTTCTGAAAGTTGTACATTGGAGTCGAGATCGTTGGCAACGCAGGAAACAATTAAACTAAGGAAAAAGATGCTGATAACAACCACTAAAGCCACACTAAGAATAAAACCAAAAGCAGGACCCGGTTTTAAAAAGCAGTAATCTCCTTCGTGTCCTCCATAACCAGGCAAATTGACAGCACTTGACATTCCACACAATAACATTGGTATGCCCCAGCCAACCATATATATACCCAATAGTGGCTTTTTTACCACAACATCTTCATGTGGAATATTCATACCACCACCATCGTCAGATGGAGTGCCAGCTGGAAGGAATGGCTTATGTACACGTTTACACAAAACTCTATAAGAAAAAAAAGTAGAACAATAATTATTTAAAGCATACAACTACCTTTCACAAGGTGCTACACATTTAATACTCATAGGCACCTCTCTACATCAAGGTACATAGTATTTTTAAAATAAAATATAAACTGAAGCAGCTACACTTATCAGGTTTATTTTATATATTTAAATTACTAATATTATCAGTTATTAAATATAATAAATTAACCACTAACTAATGCTATCATCCTTTACAATGTGTTAAATATGGGGAGAACACTTCTGAGACAGTTGCACCAAAGACAAAAGCAGCCTAGCCAAGTGCACAATTTGCGCGGGTGATCATACTTCCAGTTACAAAAGATGTCCAAAATACAAAACACTTCTCAAGTCTCACAACTTATTAAAATCGTCATAATCTGAACTCAGTACTTACGTCTCCCCTTCTCAAACCACCACCAAACCTTCCCAAAGCTTCTAACACCTCCGCCGCCAATTATATAATACTATTGCATTACCTAATAGTTCCATTAACGATAAACCATTTCCCAAATTTATACTGAACAGTATAAATTATACATACAGAACTCTCTGTATTAATAAGTCCCCTTACTTCCTTCTCTACATCTGTATTAAGCAAACAACATTCTATAGTACAAATTTATATCTACCGCATTAACTTGATTAACACAATGTCTTTATTCACTGATTATAATTCATACCTGTATACTTTAATAGGTCTCTGATCTATGAATGTATTCTGTATTTCTATATTTACATTAAATTATTCTTTTTGTATTAATGTATTCTTATTGTTGAGCTAGAATAGTTAGTTTAATTCAGAAAAAAAAAAATATTAACTCACTTAATAGTCACTGTCATCCAAAACAATGGAGCTAAACTGAAAAATTGAATCAGCAATCCTATTATTTGGCAAGTTCTAGGATTTTCAGTCCGATGAATACCATTACTAATAAGTAATTTAATAAAAAAAAAAAAAAAAATATTAATAATTTCAAACATTTACTTTCTATACATGTCTTACTAACCAATAGATTAAATAAAACATTGACATTGCCAACCAAGTATTGGGAAGAGAGTGTTTCAATTTTTTAGCCATTTGTATGTTGTTATTGAGTAACACATAGAGAGTCACTGAAAATAAAAGAAATGTACTCCCAACAAAAGTCCCAATATAAATTGATGTATGGGCAAACAATTTTGTTTTTTTTGTAGCAGTACTGAAACATTATATTAGGTAAATTAATATATATATTAAAGGTTTAAAATAATGAACACCATTTTCATACATATTTGTTGGAGGAAAAATATTATGCACCAATGTTGGGCTCATGGTCAATGCAAAATAACCAAATCTATTACACGTGTACTCCAACATGCCGCCAGTAATACGTGCTAGCTGACAACTGGTGTTGGGATTTATATCCCATAATCCAGATAAAGGATTCCACCATGATGGGCTTGGCCTCATTGTCAAATAATGATCATAATTTTCAGGTTGACGTAATGTTAAAATAAGTGGTTCTGGTAAAATTTCCATTTCAACACCAACTAATTTTGTTACTAAAATGCAAGATTTTATTTCCGTAGGCAGTAATGTGACATTGTCTTCAGCTGTTATCATTGGCTCAGGGAACATTTTCCCATCTTCGTACACTATGAATACTAATTTTATTTCATTAGTAAGCAAATCTGTCTTTGAATCACTCATAAATAATGAATTTGGTACTTTTATTGACGCTTCAATAATCTAAACAAATTTAAATATGACAACAATTAATTTTTATGATCTATATTTGTATTACATTGGATTTACAACTTTCCAAGACTAATATTTGGAATTCTTTGTTAATGTGTAATATGAATTTACTTTGTTTTGATAAAGACTATCATTGTTATAAACATGACACATCAATGAATTCATTGTAGTTGGAGAATCTTGGTCTCGACCCCAAATACATATTAAACCATTGAAATTTTCTTTTGAAATAATAAATTCTTCCATCGCTATAGCTGATGTCTGAAATCAGTAAGTGTATATTCTAATTGCAATTTAAAATTGTCACAATATTTAAAAACCATAATCATTTTCAATTTACCCATCGAGAATTTAATGTTGAAGCAAATTCTAATGAAGTTTCCAAAGCATTCACGAGTCTGGAAGTGGATTTATCATTCTTTTGAGCGGCTAATAGTAATTCTCTAGGTAGTTCAGCCATCAAACTTATTAAATCTACTACGATAGGTGCTAACTAATAAATATAAATTCATGTTAGATTTAATAAAACACTTAAAATTTAAAATTTAAATACCAATTTTTCATTGCGTATTACATCCAAATAGTCATCAACTATGTCTGCCATAAAACTAACATCAAGATTATCTTTAATTTCATTAAAATGATCTCTCGTGTAATTAAATAACTGCCTAGCTGTTTCTGAGCTATCTTTATGAGTAACATTTGTCTACAAAAAATTTAAAAAAAAAATCAGTGAAATAAGTTTATAACTGATATTTAATAATCAACTTACCTTGGATTGAGTGTAAAAAATACGAGTAGTTGGACTGGTGTAAGGACAGTCTAGAGTATCAGGTACTTCCCATATACCATTCAAATTACAATGTCTACTGACTGTACCTCTAGCCAAAGGTTCAACTTCTTCATTTGCTTGACATTGTTTAACAGTTATTACATCTGAGACGGTACGAGTCCATGCATATGTTCCTTTATTGTCTTTACTTTCTAAAATAATAAAAAAAAATCTTCTATTAAAATATACCAATACAAAACAATACAAGTCAATAAATGTATTATTGTTAAATCACCTTCAACTCCACAGAATTTGGTTTTATTTGAAATAACAGTCAGTGAAATTGATTGAATTCGTGTTCCACTAGAAGAGTTCAATTTACATTCATATTTTCCTGTATGATTTGTATTAAGTTTTGCTATTGACAAATTACTGTGAAAGAATTCCAAACAATATTTTAAAATACACTGTTTATAAGATTTTTCATAATGAGCTCATAAAATACAAATTTGACTTGTAAAAAACAAACAGTAAAACATATTATAATTTATAAAAAGTAATAGTGGCGCTGAACTCATATATCTTGTGAAGCGATTGCTGGAAAGTTGAAGTGGGTGGGTGAGTGATGATAAAAAATTTTGGATTTCGCTTCACAATATTTTTATTGAGTTTGACTATATTCTTACTCTATGGTTTGGTTTAAACTGAAAAGTAAAAAATAAACTAAAAATTGATAGTATTTAGCACTAACCTTTGAATCAAACCAGTGTGTTCAAAATCTCCGTCAGTAACAATAATTGATGCATTAGTATCTAATGCATTTATGTTCCAAGTCAAAATAATACCTTCTAGAGCATCTGTGCCAACAGCACGACATAATAGTTCTGTTGAATCTCCTTCAAAGAGAACCTTTACAAAAAGGGCAATTTCAAATAGTAAATAAGTACATGGAATTGCATAAATAATGATGAATAAACACCAGTAGAATAGATGGTAAATAAATTTAAAATTACAAGATTCGTGTAAGGTAAAATTTCGATTGCTGGAGGTGTATTTGATTTTGGGCGTACACAGTTCAACATATCTAGGCGTACATTTTTAATAGGTGTGTCTTTCAAGGAACTTGGTTCATGACATTCAGATTTCGGTCCTAATTTAACTTTTCTTTTGACCCACTCAAGAAAACCAGAAATTTCACAATCACAAACTAATGGGTTGTCTGATATATCTCTATAAGTAAAGAAAATTAAAGTATGAAGATCATAAATAATCAATATAACTATAAGCAATAAACTTACAGTCTAGTGAGATGAATCAAAAATGTAAAAGTATTGCCTGGTATTTGAGCAATACTATTTTTGTTTATTTTCCTGTAAAATAAATGTATTTATCAGTCAAGAGATTTTTATTTCATATTTTCAAGCTATTTGTCAGCAATTTAAAATTAGGCAAATGCTATAAATATTGTAGTTTATTTATCTTAATTTCTTACAATTGTTCCAATGAAAAGAGCCCTTCAAACATGCCTTGAGATATATTTCTGAGTTTGTTGTCAGTCAGTGTCCTACATTTAATATAATTTTATTATTAGTAACTTCATTACATAGCATCAATTCAAACTACTCACAATATTTTAAGATTTGGTGTACCACGAAACGCTCCATCTTGAATAATAGAAATTAGGTTTTTAGTCAGATCTCTGCAACACACATACAATATTATATTACTTAAAGTATACAATTATATTAAAAAATAATCTTACAGCTTTTGTAAAGTCAGAATAGGTATGGCGTTTGTGGGCAGAGCAGCAATAACGTTGCTGGACAGATCCCTAAGAGCAAACACACACAATATTATATATTGTAAATCAAAGAATACAGATCTAGTGGGCACAGTGGTTTAGATGACTTACAAGAATGTGACTCCCGTAAAGTTGGACAGCTGAACCAGGGGTATTTCGCTGAGATACATGACAGGCTTATCGAGCCCACCACATTTGACTTTGCTAAACTTATCGCCGACTCTCCTTTTTGGGCAGATGCATCGTTCCGGACATGCCGCAACGTCTGTAGACGTTGTCGCCACTGCAGCAGCAGTTTTCTGGGCTGCTACCGCACCAACCAACAGCAACCACAGGGCCCACAGCCATGAGCCAGGGTACATGGCGACACTTGATCGGCAAACCTCCTAATACAACCGACTTCGTTCCAACGTCTTCACCGAAGAAGCTCGAAAGACCACCTCCTCTTCGTCCTCGTCTGACGACTTCATCGCGTCAAAAGTACATTGGGACGAGACCGACAAGCCAGACAAGAAAGGCTCGCAAAGGCCCACTATTTGATTTTTGTTACGGCATTAACGGCAATCTTGAATCTAATATTATTCTAATTTCTAATACCTATCTACGAGCGACATCAAGCATTTTCGGTTTGTTTACAATTTTTTTTTTGTTTTCGTTCGTCGTTTATCTTTTATATATTATTATTATTATTACTATATTTATACCTATTAGTTATTTTCTTCCCTCTCCAAACAATGAACACTATAATATAACCTCAAAAGCTGCCAGCGACCGACTGTCAGTGGCCCGCCACTCCGTCGAAGTGTCGAGGGTTGTCACTTGTCACGTCTCGTCGGCCATCAAGGCAGAAGCGGGTCGCCAAAGACAAAGTCGCAACTTTCAACAGCGTTATTGTTATTGTTATTGTTATCCACAGACCACGGTTTATTCAGTCATGGGCCGTATCTATAGCCGTGGTCATGGGTTCAAGGTCGTACTATCACCATAGAACAAGAGCAGTAGTGGTTTTTTAAACTTTTTTATTATCTCTCCCCGATAACGTTGTTATTATTATTAGTTATTATCATAGCAAAAGGAGATAATATAATATTATAATTTAGTATTTACTATTTAGTATTTGCCCATATTAATGTGTATTGTGTCTTATTTTTTTGTTGTGCGCAATATAACTAACCGTCGTTGAAAGTCCGACTTTTTTTTTATACTGTGGTTTCTTGACAATTATTTCACCCACTGTTCTCTATACTCTGGCACGTCTCTGTTGTCACTCCGATTGATGTTTTGAAGTCCCGCGAGGCACTACGTACCTACAATCAGAGATGTCGAACTCCAACGTCAACGTTAGTTTTGCTTGCCAGCGGTGTTTCGAACCAATCCGTTTGGACAGCTCATTCAACAGCATCAGTGAACACACCATTGCTGAATTGTCATGTAAGTGTTAGAGTGATTAAAATTTGAACTCTGTAACCTAACGGTTGTTGTTGTTTGCAGTGCCAATCGTCACATGTCCAGAAGTTGATCTTGAGTCTCAGGCAAAACACATTGATCATATGATACCCGGTTTTCACTTGAACGATTCGTCCAGTGGAAATAATGGTTTCACATTGTTGGGCGAAGGGGAAACGCCGACTCTTAGCCATCAAATGAAGGTTAGTTAAATAGCCACATATATTATGTAGTACAATGTTTACATGTAGCACCTACTTATATGTGACTAGATTATATTTAATGATTATATCAGGGGTGTCCAACTCTACCCTCGGTAGGTATTAATGCGGTCCCCACTTCAATTTAATATCTTGTCCTCCACGATCACACATTATTCATATCCTTGCTATTAAGAGGATGATACCCATGAATTTGTTGTCTCCATCTTACACTCGTACGACATACCAAATTTTCGTTCACTAGTTTCAACTGTGTGCTATTATAGTTTTGATATTAGGGTGAATTGACTTTTATCTAATGTTTGTTTAAGAACATTATGTGTGCTTAAGCATCGGTTTTATTCAATATTTTAATTTTTAAGCGCGATATGAGAGTTTTTAATTTTTTATATTTCCCATACCCACATCTTGCTTGAAAATGAAAATATCGAAAAATCGCTAATGCTTGAGTATAGATAATGCTCTTCCCTAAGAGTTGAATAATAGGTCAATTCATTCTTACATCAAAACTAATAGCACACTATTGAAACTAGTGATTGGAAATGTAGTATGTTGTACGTGTGTAAGACGGAGACAACAAATGCATGGGTAGCATCCCCTCTAGTTGTAGGTATTTCGTATTTGCAAACAAATGTTTTCAAAAATGAAAAACGCCTAAAGTAATAATCGGTCTACTATTTTGGGCTAGTACCTGGAAAGTCTTTTTGAGGATTGCCACAACTTCAATCAATCTGAATATTATTCATTACTTTCATAATACCTAATGCGCAATTTATATTTTATAATTTCACATAGGTTTTTTTGGTATTTTATGTATCATTAATTTGTGTAGGTGGCAGCCAACCTTTTTGATATTGTGTCTGGAAATTCAAAGATAAATCATCCCCTGTGCGATGAGTGCACCGATGTATTGATGGACATGATGGAAGAGGAGCTACAACAGGCCGAAGCGGACTACGTAGATTACAGCAATTACTTGAAAGAGTTGGTACCTTTTTTATTATAATTTAGACCATTGGTATTAAATGATAATACTATATTAATTGTTTAGACTTTCTACAGAAGAACCAGAAGACATGGATGCACTGAATAAAGAGTTGGAAGACGTGAGTATTAAAGACATACTTTTCTATTATTTGATGTACAATAGAGTATCAATTAACAATGTGGTAATAAAGTTCTTAAAAGGTCCAATAAAAAATATACAATTGGTACAGTCGTTGCCAGATAGATTGGCATGGTAGTGGCGGTGCTTCACCAAATTGTCAAGTTGTTTATCATATAAGTATAAAAAAAGTCTACTTTTTGTTTTAAAAAGTATTTGTCAGAATATTTTTTTATAAATTATTTAAGAGTATGGTTCAACAACAAACTATCTCTACTCTTTTTCTAAATGCATGTTTTTAAATGTTCAATAAAGAATAATTTTATTTACATTTTGGTGCAATAAGCGGATACAATCGGTTGAATAAATCTCTTGTTAGTTAAATAAGCTAATATCATACAAATAGAGATGTCTTGTATACATAGTTTAGTGCAATAACTGGGTATTATTTTATGGGTTATTTTATGTCTCCTAAACAATTTCAAAATTTAAAATATGGAGATAGTCTGTTCTCACACCAGGCTCTACAATCAGTATAGTTAATACCCAACTCTAAAATTCATACAAAATTACAAATATGATTACAGTTGTTGAAAGAAGAGAAAAAGTTAATGGGTGAACTAGCAAACTTGCAAGACACTGAAAATGCATTAGATTGTGATATAAAGGAAGCAGAGAAAGAAAAAGAAAGATTAATTAAAGAAGAGGAGCGGTATTGGAAAGAATACAGTAAACACCGAAGGGATTGTATCCTCATAGAAGATAACACACAAAAAGGTTTGGTTTTTGTAATAATATAAGTTTTAATTTTAAATACTTATATGAAATTGATGGATAATTGGCCTTTTTTAAATTATTGAAACTTAAAGTGGATTAATTTCTTTTATAAATGTATATAATGTAAAAAATGTATATATAATTAATGCACAATGTTTGTTGTAGCGTTGAATGTCAAATAATTTATACCACTTCACAATTGGCCAAGCTAAGAAAAACAAATGTATTTAATGCAACCTTTCATATATGGCATCATGGTCATTTTGGGACCATTAATAAATTACGATTGGGTAGATTGCCATCAGCTCCAGTGGATTGGGCGGAAATAAATGCAGCCTGGGGTCAAGTCACGTTGCTGTTGGTGTCATTAGCTAGATATATGAATTTGAAATTTGAAAAATATCGTCTTGTACCTTATGGAAATCATTCTTATGTTGAAGTAAGTTTATATTACCTAATAATTAATTAACATTGAATACGAAACTTCGAATCACTTTACACCTATAAATCAATGTTTTTTTGACAATATTCTCAAATTTGTTTTTAAATCTAGATTTTGAACAAGCTCTACAAAATAAATTAATTGTTAGTTTATTAATACAATTTACAAGCAATGCACTTTCACTCAAAATCCTCTTTACTTAAAAAAAATTACATTCCCCTTGTACTTCTAGTTACAGCATTAGCACGGATTAGATAAAATTAATTTGACATATTATTAATCTGAAAATTGGTTGAAAAATTTATATTTGTAGTCAAATTATATTTATTAATACCTTATTTCTTATAATGTATTTAGATACTAATTTAATCTATGCTAGAAATTGAAAAATTGTGATATAGGTAGTTTGGTTGTTTATAGTTTTTTTTAATAATTTACAAGATTAATGTCAAATAAAAAGCATTGGTACAATGTGCAACCTTTGTTGATAATTAACCTATAATTATCTTCACCATTCTGTGTGATTTACTTTTTATTACGATTAGATAAAATACATAAACTATTGTTTGTCTATGGAGAATTTTATTTGCTGTTGGAATTGTTTAGTTGTTTAACTTAGCAGGTTAGATATTTTTAAGTGAAGAGGTTACTTGAATAAATTTAGATTCATTTATTTTGATTTTCCAACTGTTCCCCTCAAGCTAATCATATTTAAATAGTTTTGAATCATATCTCCCGGCTGTAACATGGTTTTCGTGAAAGGCGGTTATTATTATGTCGTCAGCATAATTATTATGTACCTAGGCATGTATAGGAGGTTTTTGGGATGTCGTAAGTAAAAGAAGGGGTCAATGACAATTCCTTGATTAACTTCTACTTTAATTGTGTAAATAGTTGAGTAAGTGGTATTTAGGTGGATGGTAAATTAGCAGTTTGTCAGATAAGATAGAATTTAATTAAAAGAATGTAGCCAAGACAACTAAAATAGAATTGGCGACAATCTCCTCACCCAAACAAGCAAACTATATTATTAGACAATTTCTTAACAGACATGAAGGATACTTTTACAATATAAATTACACAAATCAAAATTTGGTGACTTAGGATACTAAGGATTAAAGGCAGATGTTAAGGCTGTGATTTTTTTTTCTGTATCTTTTGATATTTAATAATTATTGTCTTTTATTAAAAGATGTGTAAAAGTTTTCATTATTAAAATTATTAAGTATAGGTCATACATTGGACTGGTACCAAATAAAATACATTATAATATAAGCTAATTTTAATTTTACAGGTGTTAGGGGAAAAGAAGACATTGCCGCTGTATGGCCAAGGTGGCATACGTTTTGTCTGGAACACAAAATTTGATTTGGCTATGGTTGCATTTTTAGACTGCCTCCAGCAATTCAAAGAAGAAGTTGAGAAAGGTAATTCTGGATTCCATTTACCATATCGAATGGAAAAAGGAAAGATTGAAGATTCAGCGACTGGCAATACATACAATATTCGGTAATTATATTAAATTACTTTTATTAAAAATATCAATTAATAATTGAGCACTAATATTTATTTAAATATACTTTGATGTTATAGAATACAATTGAATTCCGAAGAAGGTTGGACAAAAGCTCTAAAGTTTATGCTTACCAATTTAAAATGGGGCTTAGGTTGGGTATCTGCTAAGATAAACCACGAAATGTAAAAAAAAAAAATGAATAATGAATTTGAATTTGAAAAACAATATACTAGGTAATTTGTATTTATAATTTTTTATATAAATGTATAACTTATTAATTAATATTAAATCAACAATGTAATTGGTTTAAATTTAATTGTTCAAAACAATTTTGTTTGTCAAAAACCACATTAAGCCAAAAAGAAAACTAGACGACCCATTTAAAACTTCTGATTGAGTGATTATATCTCTGATTTGTGGTATAGTGTATTCTACGACTTCAATGTCTTCTCCTTCGTGCGCAAGACCTCCTCCTTCAGAAATTTTCCATTGATCAGTCACTTCGGTGTAAAAAAATGTCATAATGGAACCAGCTGTACTTAATGCAGCTCTAAAAATAAAAAATCACAACAATTCAATAATTTATTTTTCAATTCTTATTGTTTTTAATACATAATTAACATTATTAAGTTTATTGTACAATATAAATTATATATTTTATAAAATATTAATTGATTACATAGAAAATAAGTTTCCCTAATGGTGTGTTTCAAAAATCAATATAATGTAACTTATTTTTATTTTTAATATTTGTTTTATTTTCATAAGAAATTAACTATTAAGCCCAAGAGTATTTTTATAAATGTCAATTTATCGTAAGGTTTATATGAACAATTTTAAGATAAATGAACAGTTAATTGTATTATGTTTGTACATCATATTTTAAAAATATATACAAAATTGGATAATTTTATTATTATTTGATTTGTTTAAAAAATGAGCAAGTAGGTGAAATAGCTGTTGCAAGTTTTATGAGAGTGGTATTAATAAGATTATTTGGTGTGGATATATAGTGCATAGAAAACACACTCACTGCTCAAACGATGAAAATAAAGATGTATTTGTGTTAAAATATTTATTGACACTACACTACTCCTATAATACACTGTCTATTCGTAAACATAAAAACTATAATAATATGCTTTGTAGTATACAAATAGTGACTTAATTATGCACTATGAATATACCATAGTAAAAAGTCTTAATACAAATATATACTATATTATATTTTTTAAGTAGAACACTAAATTACATTACCTACAACTGATGATTTTTTGCATGTCTGACACTTTGACTTCATAACCACATTCTTCTCGGACCTCATCAACAGCTATTTCTTCAAGAGCTTTGTTTTTGTCTACAATACCAGCACAAAATTCTACAGTCAAACCAAGGCTAGGTGGATATTTTTTGGTATCAATAAGTCCCTCTTTTGGTCTATCGCATTCTGGTATACTTTTATAGTAGACACCTTCAAACAATTATAAACATTCAACAAAACAATACAATACAATACAATATACCAATCAATGTTCAATTGCTACCTGGTCTAAATTGCTTAACGCACACCAATGTATTTCTGGTTCTGTTGTAAATGATCACAAACACTCTACACATAAACAAAAAACCAGCTAGGTAAAAAAAATATATCATTATATTAATAAATTAAATACATCAATTAATATTATTGTTACCTACATTTATTTTATTTTGTGCACTAAAAGAAAAAACTACCATCATAGTATCAGACTATTTAAAAATGGTACCTAGGTATATATCTATATGACAATATATTTTTATTTTTCATTCATCTTATAAAAAGGTAATATAGGTAACATATTGTATATAATTGTTCAATATCTTTTTAATTGCATTGAAAACAAATTGGGAAAATTATAAATCATAATAATACTACTGAATACTGATTTAGTTAACCTTAAAACTTAAAAGCAAGGCTCAGATTTCCATGCAAAGTGCATTATTATTTAGGTGCTCTAGAACAATGCATTTCAAGTACATAATTTGTTTCCTATAACAGATACTTTAAATGTGAAATTTTTATTTTGCATTTTTCATGTTATTCCATTATTAGAGATTTTTTTTAAGCATTTTTAACTAATTTTATTAGTTTTGGTGTATATTGATTTATTGAATGAGTATTGAGAGTAAATTAGCTGAGAGCTCAAAATATATCAATAAATATTGTGCTGATAATATTTTCTTGATAGTTATTAAGTATTTTTTATTCATACGAAATGTTAACCATTTTATATATTCATATTATAGAATTATTATTCTTATACAATTAATATTGTTTATTTATAATATTCATCATTAAGCAGGTATATTACATTAGGCAATAGGTGATGTTGATAAATCAAAAAAAGTATAGTAATAGTCATGAAATAAATAACATTAAAATGACATTGTACAACATATAGGTAATCACAGTTTAACTAACTTTCAAACATTTGTATTTTTTAGTTTTATAATAATTTTAATGTTTAATGAATTTTAACTTTTAGGTAGTATTGATCATAAAATAAATACTTATAAAATAAAGAGCAAAATGATTAGCTAGGTATAGTATGATGTAAGATATTTGAGCTTATTATTTATTATTATAAATAATTACAATAATTATAACATATATTCAAATAGATATTTTTTAATTTACTTATTTATTTTTCCAACTTGTTGCAACTATTACATTGAAAAATTGTTTGACTTCTATAGTCGGAAATAGAAATTAGGAATGCAGGATGTTCCAACATAATTGTTTGAATCTGTTAGTAATTTGTATAATATATTTTTGCCAAATCTGATTTATAAGGCAAAATGTATTTATATTTGAGTATTTGACCCATTTATTATGAATATTTCAAAAAGTTATGAGCATTGAATATAAATAAGTAAATACAATATACTTATAAATTTAATAATAATTAATAACAATCAGGTTATAATGAATCAATTTAAGTTTAAGAACCAACAAACATTGTGACACTTTCTAGGCAATGCAGTGCCTGAAATGTCTAATATCTATTGTGCTATAATAAACAAAATATGATTATTACAAGTGGACCATTGTTTAAAACACAAATGCACTTATACTTTTATTGATGCACTTAATTTTTAGTAATGCCAATATGACCTCAATATAATGCATTATTATAAAAAAAAATAGTTGTAATATTATAAAGTATATTTACCCATTATGACTATCAATTAAGTCCCATTTTATTTCATTTCCTCCCTAAACAAAAAAACAAACAAATGTACTAATATTTCAAAGCAATTAATGAGATTACTAAATACAACTAAAATATGTAATAATATGTACTTGTTTGAATATCAATGAAAACGGCCTAATGAATGCTGATTCTGTGGTTTTAACAACCCTGACATCGGTGATGGGCTTCATGGTTAAACAGGTTTCGAGTTAATATTATCTGTGCACACGAAAAACAAAATTACAAGATTGGGTCAAACTATTATATAGAAACGTTAAAATAATTTAATGTATAAAAATATAATACTTATTTCATCAAAGTACCCGGTTGACGGTAATTCGGGAGTCGGACGAATTTGGAGATTTTGCAAAAAACTACTCAACAGTAGTCGGGATGGAAAGTGAAACGCAACTAACGAAAAACTGTGTAATTCGTTGATCGATCACAAACTGCTGTCGCGTACTCGGATATCAATTGTGGTCGCAGACTGCAATACCGTATTAAATAATAAATATTATTATTATAATAGCCAATAGGTACCGCGTATTGTGTGTCCATGTCAACCGTTATCATGGTGAACACCGATGATGATAAATAATATTATAATAAATAGGTATTTAAGAACTTAAAAGTATTATAAGTTTAGTCGGTATTTACTAATTATTGCTGTTATATACAATATTATAGTAAGTGCCGGTCGCAGTGGGGTTAAGCTGAAACAGCTGCTACGAACGACTACTACTCCCACTATAGATATTATAATATTATCTATGACTCCGATAATATATTATTATTTATTATTTTTACTATCGAAACACGGAAATTCTGTGGTTGCACATCATACAAATCTATACGTGGGCCACTTTTCTTTGAATATTATTTCAGCGATTTGTAATAATTGTATATACTATATAGAATTTCGGGGTAGTTGTAGTCGTAGCAGTATGCATTCGGAGTATTAAATTATTATAATCAGACGATTATCGAGGTAGTTGCAGCACAGGACAACCGTCGTGGCAACTTTATTAATTATTTATCATATTTCTATGGGGCACATTGATAAATTGATTAGGACGTTACGTCATCGCGGTCCGTCCGCCGACCACTATTGAACTCTTCTCTACTCTCTAGTCCTCTCGTCAGTCATTCACCCGTTCCCATAGCTGTACATTTTATCGTGCTGCGCTGACTCTTCGCAGTATTTTGGTCCCTCGTCCGATTTTTGATTTCCTGTAACTAATAAAAACAATTGAATTACAGCTCGCCCACACCCACTGAACATAATAATAATAATATGATCATATGATCGTCACGAGTGGACAAAATCTGTGGAAATTGTGCGGCAGAGTACGTCGCTTATCGACAACAGGTCCGATTCGTATGGCAGATTCGAGCGTTGCACGTAAGTCGTCCATCATTTTTCCATTTCGTTCGTCTACCAGATGAATATTGTTGACAGTTATAATTAGATAGTTAATATTTTAAGTTGCTGTTATTACTGTTTTCGACGCTGCATGTTAGTTTTTGTAATATTCCTCTAACGCACTCGCCCGACCATTTTACACAATTCTGTGCATATAACCTTTTAGTAGTGTGTCTGCAACGGTCACCATGTTTGCCAAATCAATATCGTCGTTTTTCTTTGCTAGGACATTAAACGCGACTGTTCCCAAGATGATGTCGTCCACATGCATTGAGGCGTTGTCCACTGAAGGCCGACGGGACTTTTACAACTCGTTTGACACCGTACTCACCGACTGCGATGGTGTACTGTGGTTGCTGAACAACACGATAAAGGGGGCCACAGAAGTGATGAACGGCTTCAAGGCGGACAACAAGAAAGTGTTTTTTGTCACCAACAACAGCACTAAATCGCACACTCAATTTTTGGAGAAGTTTCATGCACTGGGATTCAAAGCCCTGGCCAACGAAGTGGTCAGCACTAGTTTCTTGGCCGCAAAATATTTGAAAGCCAATCTTGATCCATCTAAGCAAGTGTACGTGGTCGGATCCCCAGCTATCGCATGTGAACTAGATGCACTAAATATAAGACACTTTGGTGTTGGCGAGGATTATTTAAAAACTTCTGTACCCACATTTGTTGAAAACATAAAGCTCGAACCCGACGTTGGTGCTGTGTTAGTTGGATTTGACGAACATCTTAGTTATCCTAAACTGTTTAGAGCTGCATCCTACTTGAAGGATCAAAATGTCCTGTTTGTGGCAACTAACACTGATGAGAGTTTCCCAGTGGCTGGTACAGGTTTAGTTATGCCTGGTACTGGTAGTCTGGTGTGTGCTGTCAAGACTTGTGCCGGACGAGAGCCATTTGTTGTTGGCAAACCGTCAAGCTATATATGCAATGTCTTAACGGAAACAAATAAAATTGACCCTTCAAGGACATTAATGATTGGTGACCGTTGCAACACTGATATACTGTTGGGTAAACGTTGTGGGTTTAAAACACTGTTGGTATTAACTGGTGTTAACAGCCTGAAAGATGTGGAAGAATGGAGCAAATCTGATGATCCTAAATTACTGGAGTTAGTACCCGATTATTACGCTCAGAGTATCGATAGTTTAAGAGCGACATTTCCAGTGCCATTGTAATGATTGAATGACAATTTTTGCTGTTTATTTTAAATAAATTAAAATATTAAACTAATGCGTTGTAGAACAATTTTATTTTATTATATTATATTATCACCGTTTTTAGATAATTTTTAGGGGTGGATATTTGAATGTTTTTCACATTTTGTTCAACTTATTGTTTAGCATTGATTTATTACTTCAACTATAGCAAAAATAATGGGATGTACTCTTGCCCATTATAATACAATGTATGAAGTTTTTGGAAATGTTAATTCTTTTCTGATAAAATTTGTATTGTATTTTAAATAGTACAATTCTTGTGTTATCTGAGAATAATATGTTACCTATGCTGTTTACTTTTTTTTATGTCAATTCAATTTCTGATTTTTTGTGAATGAACAAATGTTGCAATAAACAGTTTTTTATTGTCGGTCTAAAAATATTTGTTTAGTTGTCCTTATATTATTTCATACTATTTTATTATCCATTGAATCAATAGTCAATATTTCTAAAGTGTATAACAAATAACAATCAATAATTATCAGTTTATCTGTCTGCTGATTTTTTTTCCCAAATAGGTTTTAAGTAAAATATAAATTACTAAAACTTTGCTACGTCAGGTAGATCATAGGTATTAAGTTATAAAATGTTATGATTAAATTCATTTTTATCTTTTAATACAATAATACTTGTCACATTTGAATGTTATTGATGCATAATTAGGTAGTTATTAAAATATATATTTAATATTTATATATTATGCAATTTAAAAATTAATATAATACTATCGCTTAACATTTTCTAGATAAATTATAGAAGAGTATTTTATCTATTTTGAAACATATTAAACCCACTTGAAAATGTAATAGTATTTACTTGAGTATAACAATATAATACTGTATAATATAATATTGTTAACTTAATATTTCTTGTAAATTGATAGGGATTATTGATCAATCTGTTAAAGAGACATGATATTTTTCTATAGTTACTTAAAATATTAGGTATAAATTATTATTGTTTTGTTGATGCAATACTTGCAACTTATACGTTGATTAGAGATAATTTGTCAAAGTAAGATAACCTTTTTTTAAAGTTCATCGTTTTAGAATTATTAATATTACCATTTTGAGACTAGATAATATTATTATTTTAACACCATTATTAAATTTGATTACCATAATGTTTTCAAACTTAATAACTGACTATATATTATAATATAGAATATTTTGGACTTTGGTATAGAAATATACAACATTAAGTATATAATTTATTTATAATATTATAAAATCTATATTGAAACACAATAGTTTTGTTTATTTATATATTTATTCATTAAGCCTGGGCATCGATGGCCCTTATATATTTTTACTACACATACTTCAACTGTTAACTGTCATTAGTTAGCTTACCTTGATTTTTTTTTCATTACATACATAAATTATACATGGCTTACAATAATTATCTACTTGTAAGTTTTTAATGAAGATGACCAGCTGTTTCGTCTTGTCTATGTTTTGGGCTTCCGACAGAATACTGGAAATTCCCTCTTTAATGGGCTTGTTTGTACAAGGGAGTATTTGAACATTTAAGTACTCCAATTATTCAATTTTTGAGGGTTCACTGGTGTAATTAACATATTTGTTTGGCAGATTAACTAATATTTTCTTTATTTTGTAAGTTGTAGGTGGATATAGAAGAATCATCCTTTTAGATTCTGAGCAATTTGTATTAGTCTCACAAAAAAGTGTTTTTCGTTTTTATATTTTTTGTGTCTGGACACCTTTTTATGTGGTGAAAATGGTTCGATTTTCAATTATGAGGGTTGTAGGGTTGTTTCTACTGACATTTAGTAATAATAGGTAGGTCGTAGGTACGTATTATATGAAATAATATTGTAATAATTAGGTAGGTACTATATAATATACTACTATATAATGTAGGTACCTACGTTATTTTGTTTAGCAAAAATAAGTTCAAACTAACATAGTTAATAATATTATTACTAATAGAAAAATAAATAAATTGCTAACATAAATATAACAAAATATCTATCCTTACTAAAGATTCCTTAGGAATATTTGCTGACAGACCATCTCCACTCGTTTTTCGTTTGCAATGATTTATCATTGAGTTCAAATTTAACCCATCCATTACAATTACCTATTCAAGTATTCAATGACTAGGTACACTCTACGCACAACCTATAGGCTTGGTGACTTCCCTTTCATATATAATTATATATATATATATATTGATATATTGTAGCAATTAATAGTTTAAAATAAGAGTTTTCGTACATTCACCCTCATCACCTTAATTTACTATAATATAATATTATTAACTATCTTTATAGGATTAATTAGGTATTCATTAATAATAATTAAATAGGTAACATAAACATACCTGTAATTATTTAAAAAAAAAAAAAACTACAATAAACTGAGCCCGATACTGAGCCCTTGCTCAATATACCTATCCGTACAAAACTACTGCAAAAGGTATCTAATTATCAGTTGGCGTATAATTCCATAAAAACGTTAATTAAGTAGGTATTATTTTTTTTTTCGTATTTGGGAATCAACTTTAGCACATGTATAGATACAGCTCTTTTACATTCAAAATAAAGTCTGGATGAATACCTATATTATGCTGCTGAATTTGGGCGACACGCCGACACCGATCACTCAATCACTGAGTCATTATACTCACTAATGTCGTCCAGGTGTAGGATTTTTATCTTATTCGCAGACATATTGTTAGGTATTGATAGGTATCATCGACATTGTTATTTATTAATTATTATTATTATTGCAGAGTTGAGGGTCTCGTACAGAGACAAGGGCGATGTCTTGCTCGAAGATAATTTGGAATCGAAAAATCCACATCAGCTGTTTTCTATATGGTTCAAAAAAGCGTCGGAACGCGATGACGTGAGACAGCCCAACGCTGCTTGTTTGGCCACGGCTACTAAGTATTACAAATTACTATAAAATTTATATATATCATAATATTACCTATACTAGAAAATATAGAAGCCCCTTTGTAGGTAAGTACGTGTCTATCTCGAAAAGAACTAGAATTTTGACATTTCGATTTTTCACTAATAGATTTTCTTAGTCTCGAGGAATATTTTAATGTATAATACTTCTTAGACTCTTAGAAAACGTATTGGATAATTACTCATTAGTAATTTAGTACCTACTGTATATAACATAGCTTGTGTATTTTTGTGACGTCCTGTAGGTCTGGTATTCCGTCGGCTAGATTTGTTTTACTTAAAGCTTTCGGCGAATCGGGTTACACGTTTTTTACAAACTCAGAGAGCCGCAAGGGCCGAGAAATCGTGAGTACCTCGCATTACCTTGTTTTATATACCTAATCTATTATTATAAATTGTGTCGGATTCTATTCTAAGTATGTCATCGTTTATAATTATATGGGTACCTTATGTATTTATAAGCAATTGAATTATTGTACTACGGAACCCCAAATCGAGTATTAACAGCTAGTACTGAAAATTTAAATGAGTATATTATAGCGATAATTAAATTACAATTTTTTTTTCAAAATTAACAGTTTTTTTGACTATCGAAAATTTGAAATGTATGGAATAATACGATTATTTAATAATATTTTTATCTTTATCTTATCCACCTATATTGTAGATTGCATTATTAATCAAAAATTTTTGCTACAAAGATGACGTGAACTCCATGTGAACTGCTAGTAATGTCACCTTGTAACTAGGATTTTCGATAACCTTTATAGATGTAAAGATACAATCATTAAAAAAATATTATAATTTCTAGGAAGAAAACCCGGTAGCAGCCATGACGATATATTGGGACGCGTTAGACCGATCAGTAAGTTTAGATTTATAACACATTACATATTGACAGGGGTGGCATATTATTTTGACGTTACGTGTCAAAAATTACCCTTTTTTTTCGAGTGTGCCATTCAATTTTAAAAGAGGTACATATTATGAGCATATGACTATTTATCAGTAAATATAACGATTAAGTATTCAAATTATTCAATCTGTAGATATCAATATATACATATTGTGTTATTGTGATATTATTTATTATTAAAAAAAAAAAAATGTAGGTATGTACAATATTTGAATTTTTCGCGTGCCATGGATTTGCCATCCCTGCTAATTGCAGGCTGATATAGGATCTTTCTGTCGAGGTTATGTTGCTGTTCTATGTTAATGATCGTAGTTCAGGACTTTTTGCACTAAAACGGAAAATACGTGCTTTAAAAATTGAATTATATGTGCTAAAAATATATTAATAATTTAATAACCACAATTTTTTTAAACGTATACATTTTAACGCATGAAAATAACAAAAACACATTACATGAAACATTATGTAAATCATATTAAAGTAAAATATTTGTTTAAAAGTTAAATATTTGTATATGAACTAATAGAAAAACATTTATTTTCCACATAATTTTCTAAAGTTATAAAACAATCTATTAAAAAGTAAATAAATTAAAATATACTAAAAAAATATTTTTACCATTACCAAACTAAACTTTATAATTGATATAGATAGATAGGTACTCAGGTACTGGATACCTATCAAATTTTTTTATCCAGTCAAAAAGTGAAATAGTTTTATTTTATAATTTACCTATGAATATGTGTGTGAAGAAAATCGTTAAGGACAATTTTAGGCAAAATCCTTAAAATAGGCCAACCAAAATGTTGTAGTAATAGTGCTTTAAGTCCCGAACCCTGTATTGTATAGATTATAGATATAAAGTATATTCGTAACCAATAGTAAATCGCGTATGTAGACATTAACATTATTGAATACATTTTTGCTTACATATATTTAATGTACTTATAGGTACGAATTGAAGGAGCTGTGGAGAAAATCGATGAAACTGAGTCCACTGAATATTTCGATACGCGACCGAAAAGCAGCCAAATCGGTGCTCATGTGAGTCGGCAGAGCACAGTAATTAGCAGCAGAGAAGCACTTTCCAAACAAAATGAAAAGCTCGAAGTTGAGTTCGCCGAAAAACAAGTGCCCAGACCGTCTTATTGGTAAGCAGATGAGTCTGCGGTGCCGTGTGCCCGTGTATCGGCGTATATGTTTAAATTATTCAGAGTTTAATGATATTCGTGGTTGGAAATACCTACCGGTACACTAAATGTTGGTTGTCTACAATTTTACCGAAATTTTTTCTGATGTACTTAAATGTTTTTCGACGTACGTTAGAAATTTACCAGAGAAAAACATTTACTATATTTTATTGAAAATCGTTACATTCAGAACCCTCAGTGGATATAATATACTCAATATTATAGTGCAGGTGGAAAAGAATTTCATTCATTATAATCTGACTATGAGTTTAAATGGATTTTTGGTGGGAGAGCAAGATGGTCAGTTATATTTCTGAAATTGGTGGGAGAGGGGGCGTGTTAAACTCTTGCTCCAAAATCCTCCCTTGCAACAGTTCTACCCTAAATGTATACAAATCGTTAACAACTCTATACAAAACTATAATACCGCGAGATGAGACGCCTGTATAAATGTTCAATTTGGTCTGGCTTAATCCGTGGAACTCCTATTTTTTATTTACAGGAACGGCTACAAAATAATTCCCAAAACGATGGAGTTTTGGCAAGGGCAGAGTGACAGGCTGCACGATCGCATCGTCTTCGAAAGGGCCGAGAACGCGGCCGAAAAGCAAATCGCCAGTCACGCCGGTGAAAACGGTTGGGTATTTTACCGTCTCTCGCCGTAACGTTGCATCGTATGTTTATCTATACATATCGTGTGTTAAATGTATTATAACAATAAGAACTCAAACTTCCAATTTGTTGTTTTCTTTTCGGAATATATATATTTATTTACTGATGTACCTACAGTATGATAAATTGATTAGTATTAAATAATAATAATAATGAAAAAATCAAACTACAAAATATATTGAGGTACCTACTAACTATACAAAATATGTTTACAAAAAGTAAAATAAAAGTTTCCAATTTTAGATTCTGAGTGGAAAGATGAATGTATTGATTTTACAATGATGTGTTTTTTTTTAATTTTTTTTTTTTGTGTCTGTGTACACGATAAGTAGTCGAAATAATGCTTAGATTTTTCAACTTCAGTATCTTGTTCGATTGGAAAGTGAATATAGTTGGTACATTGGGGAGGTCAAAATTAAAAATTCAAAGTCATTTTTACAAGCGACAAGATTAACAAAAGAAAAATTAAGGAAAAACGGGAATTTTTACGCAAAATCGATTTTTCACAAAATTGAATTTGGTTTTTGGTGTAACTTTAAAATAAATGACCGTAGACACTTGAAATTTTCACTGGTTGTTTATATTTGCATTTTCTATACCCTATAACATTTTCAAAATATTTTGATTTATTTTGAACTGTTTAGGTACATTTTCATTTCCCATTTTTTTTAATTTTTTTTTTCTAATGATATCAATAAAATTTTATTTGTTGGCTGAAAAAGCTTGAAAATTTAATAGAAGGCTCCTAGTATACTGTTCCAAAGGCAGATGAAAAAATATTAAAAATCCTTAGTCACAGTTTTTTTTTATAAGCATTTAAAGTTCACAAATTGACAAAATATGGAAAAATCACGAAAATTAGCAAATTATTTTGAGTTAAAAATTCGTAAAAATTTTTCTTTTTAAATGTAAGGTTTTAAAATGTAATACAAGATTCCTCATAAGTTTGTCTACTTTTATCAAAAAAAAAATTTCTATAAGAAAGTCAAATTAAATTTTTATGAGCGTTTTAAATTCAAATTTTTACAACATTGGATATTCACTCGATTTCTCATGTAGCGATTTCCTTATTTTGTTGTAATTCAAAAACGAATAACTGTAGATACATGAAAATTTCACTGAATGTTTATATTAGCATTTCCTATACACCATACAATTTTGAAAATATTTTGACTCTTTTTGAGCTGTTAACGGACATTTTCATTTTTCAATTTTTTTAGTTTTTTTTTCTATAAAAATCAATTAAGTTTTATCTGTTGGGCCAAAAAGTGTAAAAATTTAATACAAGACTCCTGCTATATTGTTACAATATCAGTTCAAAAACATTGAAAATACATAGGCACAATTTTTTTTTATAAGCATTTAAAGTTGAAATTTTGACAAAATGTATCAAAATCTCGAAAATTATGAATCATTGTAATTAATAAATTATAAAATGTTCAGTTTTTATAGCTAAGGATTGCAAATTTAAAAAAAGGTTCTCATAAATAGGTCATACTGTAACCAAAAAATCTAAAAAATATATGAACACAGTTATTTTTTACAGACATTTTAAATTCAAATTTGGACGAAATTACATAAAAAAAAACCTAGAATAACTATTTTAGTTATTTTGTTGTGATTGAATAATATTATTCGTGGGTACTTGAAACTTCTAAAGTGTACTATTATATATCTATGATAGTATCACGGTTTTTGTTGATGTATAACGCGTTATAAGTACCTAATGGATATTATTGTGATATGATTAATTTGGAATTTATTATAGGTATACCTATTGTAGGTCAATTTTTTGTTTAATATCATAGATATGTATATAATATGTCTTTTACCTAGACTGACATACCGTCTCCCCTCAGAATCATTTTTCGTATACAATGATATTATATCATTGAATTCAAATTTAATATCATCCATTATACAGTGACCCACTTGTAACCTACTGTACAGCAGAGCGACACCCACTTGCCCACCTTTTTTTAGTTTTTTTTTCTATAAATATCAATAAAGTTTTATCTGTTGGGCCAAAAAGTGTAAAAATTTAATACAAGGCTCCTGATATATTATTACATTTTTATATGCATTTAAAGATCGAATTTTGACAAAATGTATCAAATTTAATCGAAAATTATCAATCATTGTAATTAATAAATTATAAAATGTTCAGTTTTTATAGCTAAGGATTACAAATTTAAAACAAAGTTTCTCATAAATAGTTCATACTGTAACCAAAAAAATGTAAAAAATATAAGAACAGTTATTTTTTACAGACATTTTAAATTCAAATTTGGACGAAATTACATAATAAAAAAAACCTAGAATAACTATTTTGGTTATTTTGTTGTGATTGTATAATATTATTCGTGGTTACTTGAAACTTCTAATGTATACTACTATATATCTATGTGATAGTATCAAGGTTTGTTGTTGGTGTATAACGCGTTATAAGTACCTAATGGATATTGGGATATGATTAATTTGGAATTCATTATAGGTCAATTTTTTTTAATACCATAGATAAGTATATAATATATCTTATACCTAGACTGACATATCGTCTTCGCTCAGAATCGTTTTTCTTATACAATGATATTGTATCATTGAATTCAAATTTAATAGCATCCATTATACAGTGACCCTCTTGTAACCTACTGTACAGCAGAGCGACAACCACTTACCCGCCTTTTTTTTTACTTAGCTCGCTCCACGACCGCGGCGCTGGATTATAATATATTGTGCAGAGAGTATAATATTATGACTACACAGCTATAATAATATGTTACTAACACAATATTAATGAATTTAAAATGTCATAATTATCATCGTGGTGACGTGGTCATTATAATAGTATATTAATATACCGATTATATACTAAGTAGTTATACCACCTACCTACATATAGTTACCAAATTAACCAAAATGATCTTATTTTAATTTTAAATAAGTCAATCCCTTATAGGTATTTATTTAATTCTGTTTGATAAAAATATTGTCTATTGCATTTTTCATAATTTTATTTTGAAATATGAAAATAAATTATATACGTTTTCAATGGTGGGGTGAGGGGTGGTGCTTGCAATATTGCGAAGTGTAATATTATGATTTTATCTTTAAACATCTAAAATCGTTTGTCTGATTATCAATAGGTACTAGTCACCTATTAATAGTGGCTATAGGTCAAGAAGTCCTTGAAACTACGTTGATATTATTGCCTAATATTTGATTGTATTAAAAACGTGATAAATTTATAACCTACATTTCCTATTTTTGTTATGTATTTCATTATTATGGAATAATTTTTACGCAAATACCACGCGCCTCTTTAAATAGGTACCTATATAATATCGTATGTTTGCCTTCGCGTATTAAAACGCCTACCTATACGATATTTCCTAATTCGTTGCTTAACATTATAGTGAATTATTAACTAACTATTATCAAACTTAAAAGTAAGAGCATTATCAATATCTGTGCGTTGTTAGTTTTTACGATCTTGTGGAAGATACTTTTTAAAAGTATTCAAGTAGGTACCTACTACCTACCTAATATAGAGTCGTACAGATAAAGATAATTATTTAAAAAAGTGTATAAAATACGTATTTAAAAACTCTTAAAAATTAGTGTTATTGGATACAAAATATACAGATACTTTAAAATATTTTAAAATTGCTATTTTATAAATAATAGTTAAACATCTAATATAAAATTTTACGTTTGCAAGGCGGATATAACACACGCAAATACGGTAGCTGGTAGGTCATGGTAATGTTCAATACGAGCTGATATTGACGGTATAACGTATAGTAATAATTAATATTAATTATTATCACTAGTTTTCCGTATTATTTCTTCAATATGAACCTATAAATGTAATCATTAGTTAATTTGGGCTTGTATAAACGGCAAAGACAATGTCTACACGCACACAAACGACCTACGTAATAATATATTAGGTACTGTTTTATAATAATTTACATTAAATCGCACTGTAGAGTGTAGATACGCCTTAGGTATATGATCGATGAGCTATTATAGTAAAGGTTATGAGATATTATAGTTCCCTGTTTGTACAATCAGTGTTAAATGTTAACAATGCCAAAGAAAAGTCACTTAGGTCCTGATACACGCTATACGCAGAATCAATATTCAATACAATGTACATCATTATTTTATAGGTACCTACATTTTTTTTATAGTTGTGTAAACTGTAGGAGCAGGGGCGGATCTAGGGGAGGGTTCAGGAGGTCAGCTGACCCACAGTTAATATTTTCTGATCAAATTGGCCTCTTTTCAGATCTTGAGTAGTTGGACACTTAAATAAACACACATATAGTATAAATGAATTTTAGATTCTGAGTGGAACGATGAATGTATTGATTTCACAATGTGTGTTTTTTTTTTTTAATTTTTTTGATTTATTTTTGTGTCTGTGTACACGATAGGTAGTCGAAATAATGCTTCGATTTTCAACTTCAGTATCTTGTTCGATTGGAAAGTGAATCTAGTTGGTGCATTCGGGAGGTAACATTTTAAAATTCCCAATAGTTTTCACAAGCGCCGGGATTAAACACATAAAAATTAAGGAATAACGGAAATTTTTACTCAAAATCTGTTTTGCAAAAAATCAATTTTGGTTTTTGGTGTAACTCTAAAACAAATGAACGTAAATACATGAAATTTTCACTGGTTGCTTATATTTGCATTTTCTATACACGATAAAATTTTTAAAATATTATGATTTCTTTTGAACTGTTTAGGGACATTTTCATTTTCCATTTTTTTTTTAGTTTTTATTCTAAAAATATCAATAAAATTTTATTTGTTAGCTTAGAAAGCTTGAAAATGTATTATAAGGCTCCTAGTATATTGTTTAAAGGCAGATGAAAAATAGTAAGTCACAATTTTCTTTTAAAAACATTTAAAGTTCAAAAATTGACAAAATATGGAAAAATCACGAAATATAGAAAATTATTTTTAGTTAAGAATTCGTAAA